GAAGTGCTACCAACTTATTTTCTCCTAGCATTTCATTTGATAATGGGGTTGGATTTGATCAAAGCAAACAGCCATGCCTTACTCTATCAGTTACATGCTTACAGCTAATGAAAACCATTGCGATTCATGAAAACTACGGCCAAGGAATAAAAGGAAAAGAAACACGGTGGTCATGGGCGCCTGAGTTTCATCACCATCGAAAAACACCATGGGAAAAGTACTATAGGGATTGAAAGGGGAAGAGATGACATGGTCGCTACTTACCAACGGATGGAGCAGAACGTTGTCTTGGAGATAGGGCGGAGAAGGGCGGGGCTGGTAGCAGGAAGACCAACGACGGAAGGCAGGAGAGCAATGGGGGATCTCGAACCGGCAGGGAACTGGCGGCGGAGGGCCCCGCGCCACCGTGCCGCAGGCTCAGGCGCGACCTCGTACGCCGACAGTAGGCCCACACGCGTCCACGCCCCTGGCAGCGGCGGCGGCGGCAGCTCCCGCGTACCTCTCGCCGCCGAGGATGAGGGGCGGCGCGTAGAGCAGGTTCGCGTGAGGGAGGCGAGGCAGGCACTGGAGAGGCGAGGGGGTGCCGGGTTCCTGCGGCGGGGCTCCCCCGGCGCGCGACGGGCGGCGGCTCCGATGGGGCGGCTCCCGGGGCGACGGGCGCGGCGACCGACAGCGGCTGCAGGAGGCGGCGAAGGGCGCAGCGGGGCGGCTCCGGTGGCTGGGGAGGCGACGACCCGCGGCGGGGGCGGGCTCCCGCGGCTGGGGAGGCGGCGAACGGCACGGCGGGGGCGGGCTCCCGGCGACCTGCGGCAGCTTCCCGTGGCTCCGGCGGCGTGAGGCGGCGGTGAAGGGCGCGGCTTCCCGTGGCTCGGCGCGAGGCTGCGGGAGGCGAACGACGCGGGAGGAGGAGGAGGTCGTGCGGGAGGAGAAGGTGGAGGTCGTGCGGGCGATCGGTTTTGTTAATGCGGGGCGATTAGCGATCGATGTTGCGTGGTTGGTAGCGTTAAACGCAGAATGATTAAGGGTCATTAGATTTTGATGATGGATGGGTGGGATTGTTTGGATCTGTCTCTCTCTTTCTTTTATAATGGTAGTAGATGCCTGTGAGCGCATCGACCGGGGGGTGAAAAAACCAGACGAAAAATAGCCAACCAAAATAAAACGGAGGTGGAAGGATAACGAAAAAACCCTGCGAAAATAAACCGTGCAGACTATTCACCAACTGCTCCATTAGGAGTAGAGATCCAATAAGGCCTACCACCATACCAGGCCTTAGCTTGTGTCAATCTACCCAGCCAACTCCTTTTAAACTGAAAACACCTTGCTGGGTTTGGGCCTCGGTAAGACAAGGCAATATTTTTTTTCTTTCTATGTGACGACTGGGCCAACAGCCCATAGGCCTATAGAATATGCATGTGTGGAAAATACCGGCTTCGAACAACTTTGAGTCCATATAAATAAAGGGAGTTCAAATTTTTAATCAAGCATTTAAAAATGTTTAAATGTGTATAGAAAAAATTTGACCATGTATTCAATAAATATTAATCTTCTATATGAAATTTTGAATAAAGCATTTGAAAAATGTGTATAAAAAAGGTTGACCATGTATTAAATAATTGTTAATCATGTACATAAAAAATGTTAATCAAGCATTTGGCAATGTTAAAATGTGTATAATTTTTTTTAACCATGCATTCAAAAGTAATAATTTTGTATTTAAAAAATGTTAACCAAAAATTTGAAGAAATGTTTAAAATGTGTATAAAAAATGTCGAACAAGTATGAAAGAACCTTCAAATTTATTTGAAATTTTTTAAACGTGTATAAGAAAATATTTCTTGATGTATACAAAAAAGGAAGAATGAAACCAAAAGAAACAGAGAAAACGCTAAAAATATTGAAAACCAAAAAAAAGTACCAAACGAAATGAAAGAAAAAATGAACCAAAACAGAAAAATGTAAAACTAGTGCAAAATAATGGAAACAAAGAATAGTTAGTAAGCATTGAATAGCAAGAAAAAAAGAAAAATAAACAAAGAAAAAAAAATAAAATGAAAACTTCCTGCGTTTCAAAATGAAGGTTTTCCAATTTTTTGATTTTTTTTAAATTTTTCATGCCCGTTTCAGAATGCGGTCAAAACTGCGGACATGACCATTCCTAACTAGTGGTTGAATCTTGAAAACTTTTGGCGTTTCTCTGATTAAATAGATACTTATGCACCTACAAATGGTTTTTGGAAAAAATAAAGAGCAAACTATGAGACAACTGCAGTTCAAACTTGACCCGCTTCCTACTGAATCGGCGAAAATTTGTCTTTTTCACGAGAGGTGGATCAAAACTTTTGACACCTAACCATTTGTTTAATTGTACATTAAATATGGCCTAATATTTTAGAAAATTGATTTTGGTTCAATTTTGCAAAAAAATTTGGTAGGTCCTTCACAAAAAAACTCATTTTGGGCACTCGAAAAAAAAGAAAAAAGAATTTTCGTCCAAAAAAATGAAAACTACTTTAGGCAACATTGTTTGTCATTCCGAGATGCACCCTTGTGCAAAAGATGAGATGAACAAACTATGCCATGAATGTGGCCATAAGATTAATCATTTGCCTTGAAAACCATTAATCTTCACACATGATAACTCATTTCTCAGAACACTTTTTTTAAATAATTGTCGTATTATAACTTTATTATTTTTCCTGGTAACTTGGTCACATATAATGACCCAATGCGAAGGTTTTCCAATTTTTGGATTTTTAAAAAAAAATTCATGCCCATTTCAAAATGCGGTCAAAATTGCGGGCATGACTGTTCCTAGCTAGTGGTTGAATCTTGGAAAATTTTGACATTTCTCTGATTAAATAGATACTTATGCACCTAGAAATGATTTTTGGAAAAAAATAAAGAGCAAATATAAGGCGGCTGCTGTTCAAATTTGACGAGCTTCCTGCTAAACTGGTGAAAAATTGTCTTTTTCATGAGAGGTGGTTGAAAACTTTTCAGACCTAACTATTTGGTCAATTGTGCATTAAACATGGCCTAATATTTTATAAATTTGATTTGGTCCAATTTTGCAATAAATATATGGTAGGTCCTTCACAAAAAAAACTCATTTTGTGCAATCAAAATATTTCTCCGACATGTCATATGTGGTCTAGTGTGATTTCAAAATATTTCTTAACTATTTATATTGAAATTTTTTATTTATTCATAACTCAATTTGTCATTGAATTCATGTTGCTTTCTATTGAAACATTTTTTAGGTGTACCAACACTTTCATTATAAATATGCACATTTATATTAAGACTCGGTTTTTCATATAGTTACTACATTTCTCATTATAAATAGATTTTCTAGTGCCAAAGTGGAACATATTTTTTTGTAAATAATTGTCTATAAACTTTTGTTTTGGACCCTTGAAAATATTTGGTTACAATTGGTTTTTCCAAAAATCTGAATAAATAATATCATATTACTCAGACTATATACAGCCCATAATGTATTATAGTGAGTTCGCATACATTTTTCATAGTATGCTTAAACATCTAAATAAACTATTAAAGTGCTTTGGAGCATATGTATCTAGCAAATAACTTGATAGAATATTTTAGACTATGTTTCTAGCATATAACTTGGTGGAGGATCCAGGAGTACAAGTCTATCAAGTGTATGTGTAACTAATAGATGATTCTAGAGTGTATGAAGTGTCAACTAGTAATATGTACTCGAAACCCCATTTTTGCTCTTTTGTTCAGGTTGCTTGTTTCAAATTCGACCCTCGGAGCTAAAATCGCGCAGTTGATAGCATCCAAGTGTGTTTTGAACTTGAACTTTCATATGTTTTAATGTTAGTCATTTGATTATTATTATTATTTGACATTGATTCTCCTTAGAGAAAACTGGTGTCATGTGCCTCAACATGTAACCCCATTTCAAAAATACCATCAACTTTGATTCTCTCGAACTCACACAAAACCAACATAATCCACATTAAATCAACTCAATCCAATAAGTTTTCAACCCACAGGCTGATATAAAAAATCATTCATGGTTCCAAAAATAATGGTTATACAACACCAACACCATTACCTTGTGTCTGTTACTACGTCACCACTCATTTGTGTACCCTTTGAGGCCTTGTTCGGTACTAGTGTATTTCTAGGAATTTGTGGGGATTATCCCCACCAAACAGTAAATCCCCACCTATTCCTAAAATCATGTTTGGTTCTAGTGTAGTGGGCTAGTTTAATCCCCACTTTCCCCTATTTTTTACCCCAAATCTTCGGGTATTTTCTCCAGTGCCCAACACACTACCCCTACCCCTGCCTAGTGGACTGGGGGTTGGGGTTTTATGGGATTTGAGAGGATTGGGTCAGGTAGGGGTTTCACTCGATCCCTGTGCGGATTATCCCCACTAATCTACCTCTATACCAAACAAGGCCTGAATGTTTTGATCCCTGCAAATATGTGATGAGCACATCCTCGATCTTCACGATGCAGCCTGCTACCGAATTCTAGCGGCAAGGCACACACACATACAAAGCTTAGACCAAAAGCTGCTGCAAAGTTGGCCAAATGAACTAGCGATCAGAATTGTCGGACGGCCGCATACAAACGAGTGGTCAAATTAGCCTTGGAGATGCTCTCAGGGGGGCAGTACAGCACACATCAGCATAATGCAAAGAAGTGGTAAAGTGGGATCAAGACCTGTATGACGACCAAGTTACCGGCAAGAACACAACCAAGTTACTTGCAAAAACTATCAGCAATGCCCTAAGGCTATGCAAAATTTGCTTCTATTCGTAAGTCATTCTGCTACCCACATACAGCAAAACACACAGCAATACACCCTTCGCACGTTGATCTTCCATACAACATTCTACGAGAACGTCCGCTAATACAAGTTGGAAAAAGAAAACCACAACCAACAGTCTAAGAGCCTATAGCAGCCAGCCATCGCGTAAAAAACAGCAACCACGGATCGTAAAATGGCATATGGCTACTCTTCTTGGCCAGACTCTTCCTTGTCGAGCTTTATCATGTCGTCGATCCTCACAATGGTAATGGCTGCTTCTGTGGCAAACTGCAGAGCAAAAAAGGTTATATGAGATGTGCGATGGATCTCGGCATAAACAATGTAGGTGACAAGCGAATAAGTTAACCAACCAACCTGAATGATCTTCACTTTGCTCATTGCTGGCTCGATCACGCCATGTTCAAGGTTGTTGCGGATTACACCTTTCGTCAGGTCAAGACCCATGCTGCAGCAAATTCAAACAAAGTTGAAAATGTTCAGTAGCACAAGGCAAAAAACTGAAGATGTGTAGTAGCAGAACAAAGCAGCAAATGGACAAATATATTGAATTATTGAAGTAAAATAAAAACAGTAGCCATCACTGTAACCAAATTATGCATCTAGGTGCGCACTTCCCCAGTGACTAAATTCAAAATTTAAATCATAAGTATTCTGGCACTCTACAAAAGAAAGCCCAAGTGGACACTGAGATGGTTCTTGCAGTGTCCTGTACAGGAAACTGAGGGGAATATTGTCTATATATCATTGCTCAACACGCACATCTCAGTGCATAACTATTTTCCTCAAGAGGGTGGTGATACTAGCCTTCAAGGCCTATGTAACATAGCGGAGCCATAATCCATTCAGATCTTTAACAGAGATAAATAAGTTCAACAAGTACCTTGATAAATGCTGCTTATCAGCATTGGTTTGAGCTTTATTATGATATGCCCTAAGTTGTGCAACAAGGTCAGTTGCATCTTTTGCGGCATTAACAGCGAGGACCTATCATCACACAGCCATACTCACATTAGTATATCATCATGTGGTTAAGTATGCAAGTATCATATCTACAAAATATAACTGATCAAACCTTCGGTATGATCAACAAAGCTTCTGCAAATTCAGCAATCGCCAGCTGTTCCCTGGATCCAAGAGTTGTAGCAAGATTCTCCAGGTACACAGATAATGCAGCTTCTACAGCACCACCCCCAGCAACTACCTGGATGACCAATATACATGTTAAATACACTCTACCTACAAGAAAACAACAGCTTACAGAACTACATTCACCGACCAGGAAAGAAGAGATCTAATGTTAGCATATTATGTGAAATGGCGAACGGGAGATGCAGATACTACAGAATAAAATGCTACATTTAAATGATGGCTTTTAACTGTTCCTATTCTCCTTCAAGCATCAAAAAAGTTCTCAAGAATGGGGATCGCAGCTTTTGGAAACAAGGCCTCAAAGAAAATTATATAAAAAAAAAGATTGCACTAGTATGGATCGGCAACAAACATGATATACAAAAGAATCTTAAATATCAAAATTGGGAACAAGGAAGCAGCAGCTAAACTTTTAACTCGAAATCACACTTAGTAGCAAGAAAAATGGTAAACAAAGACAAACTAAGAGTAATCTCACACACCACATACATCATGACAACAGGGAACCAACAAGGCAACTAATAAAGCAACAGCAGAAGAAGGATTTACCGTATTGGATTCCAAAGTTCTCTTCACAATGCACAGTGCATCATGCAAAGACCGTTCAATCTCATCTAGCATGAAGTCATTTGCTCCTCTAAGTATAATGGAGACCTGCATAAAAGAAATGCAAGTGTGATGCCTCTAGCTTTGAAACTAATGCTTACGTCATTACTCGTAGTATAGCTAGCTCAACATTGGCATGAAGATACATACCGCACTTGTATTCTTTGTGCCTTTCACCAGAATTATTTCATCATCAGAAATCCTTTCCTCAACAACCTCACTGGCATGTCCAAGGAATGATGGATCAAATGTTTCTTCACCCTCCATGTCCGCAAAAGTAGTCACCTGTAGGTTCTTATTCTTTAGGATATTGACAAGCAGCTCATTTTGGCTCAAAAAAGTAATTATTTTCATTATTACTTGAGAATATCAATGATAGAAGTTATTTTTTATTAATATAAAGTCCTACCGTAATACTCCCTCCATTCCATTTTGGGACGGAGGGAGTAAATTGGCAAGCTGCTACGCTGGAATAGCATGTATTCGAAACAGGAAATCATCAAATAAATGTATTCCAGTATTGCGAATTTAGTAATATTTCAACAAAATCAAGTCATGAATGAGATTAAAGACTGTAAATTATGAAAATACTCCTTGATCAAAACTATCTAACCAGCACTATGAAGAAATAAGGCATACCATTGTTGCACCTGTAGCCTTGGCAACATGGCGCAAGTCCTCCTTGCGCACACGTCTTACTGCAATTGCTCCAGCCTCAACAAAGTACTAAAATAATGTTTCAGCACATGAGATTTAGTTAGTCAACAGGAAGTGATATCCACATACACCACAACAGCCCAGTACATCTTTTCAAATTCGTAACAATCAAATCATATGAAACGAAACGAACACTTCTGAGGACAAAAACTTGAGACTGGGTACTATTGACAGGGAACGGAAGGTGGCAGTGATATGATGATAACTGTAGTATAAAAGATTCTGCCATAAGGCTAAATTAACAAACATATGATGCTAACTGTAGCATAACAGATCGTGTTTGCACCACCCCAAAAGTACCAGCAGCTAAGAAGAATGTGAAATTCAGTACTAACGTGGACAAGTTCAACCAAATACATAAATTGTCTGTGTTCTGGCAAACAGTATACAGAACTATATCAAGGATAGGAACAGCAATCTGACTCTACCTGAGGTATGAAAACGTACCTTCAATGACATATCATCAATTCCCTTGGTGGTAAATACAACATTAGCACCAGCCTTGAGAACTTTCTGAATCCGCTCCTTTGTTATGTCAGATTCTCTGTGTAAAGAAGCAAGGTGTTAGCCTGTTAGGTATATAATATTGGGCACCCCAAGATAGAAGATAAATTGATTGTGAATAGTGAAAGGCATGAAGACCTATCACAGGAAATGAGAAACAAACACGATAACTAAGAGAACACATTCATTGAAGATTAATTCTGGAGATAACAAAAGGAAATATATAATAAGATGGAAACTATCCCTCCATCCCATAATATAAGAAATGCATATACCTCTCGCGGATCTTCTCAAGTTCCCTTGGATCGGATACAAGGACTTGAACACCCATTTGCATTTTCGTCTTCTGAAGGTTGAAATCAAGACAAGCAATTCTAGCAGGGGTTACTCTGGTAGGCATTCCTTGAGCTGCACGGCCAGTGTTCAGCGCATAACCATTCAGCAGGTAACTTTCCTTGGCACTTTTACCATGAGCTTTCAAAATATTAATACTCTGCAGGATAAAAAAAGCAACCATTTACAAGCAAATTTGTAAGTGGCACAGACAACAATTCCCCTAACAATGTGTTAAATAAATCAAAAATCATGTCCAGTACATAAAACGGCATTACAATATTAATACGGGAGAACAATTTTAAGTGGCAGTAGAATTGTTTATATTAATATCAGGTAAAGGACAACCCAACATTAGGGCCTCTTTGATTCATAGGATTGCAAAAGCACAGGAATAGGAAAAATGTAGGATCGGAATGGCATGTCCATTGGATCCCTATGGGATTTGTGTTTGTTTGATTGTGTCACGGGAAAAACAAAGGATTTCTTCCAAGAGGTTTGAGTGGATGTTAGAATTCCTGTGAAATGTAGTACAAATGAATCCTTAGGAAAAAATCCTATAGGATTCAATCCTACGAATCAAACGACGAACGTAGGAAAAATTCCTAAGGATTCTAATCCTTCAAAAATCCCATGAAAATCCTTTGAATCAAAGAGACCCTAAGGTAGACATAAGATTACTACACACTAACGCAATTAATATCAAGATGTTTAATACATCCAACAGGAAAAAACAAATGGTGCATAAAGCAAAACAACAGCACAAACTGGTATAATAATTTTTTCCTAAAGAGTCCACAGGACTGTAAAACTCATATCTTTATTCAGAGAGAAGGGAACCAGCAACTTAAATCTACAATTGCAATAGCAAAACTGGCATTCCTTGATATATAGCAATTACGAATAGAAATTTTGATTTAATGCAGTATTGTAACCAAATGCAATTTGCTTACCTTGATTGGATACTTCACTTCTCCCTTGGAGTTTGTGGTCTTCACAGCTTGAACTGCTTCTACAACCTAAGAAACCACTGCCACGTCAATTAAATATCACATTGTTTTAGCCAAAGCTAATGGAACACCTAACATTTGGTTCCAAAGATGAGCAACTTGTCAGATAAACACCATAACATGGCAGCATTATCAAAATAAATAATAGACCAGCCAGCTGAAAATGCATGCATGGACTAAATAATTATTTGGGGTTTAACAAATGCCACCAAAATCGAATACACGACAACTGAACCACCAGATTTCACTATTTCTGAGCTTCACTGTGCATGGATATGTAAAAACGAATGCATGATTAAGAAACCAGTACAAATGACCACAGGAACTTACCAGATTTGCAAAGAAATTACCGTCCGTGGTAATCAGTTTCGAGGACATGCTAGTTTTAGCACAGTTAATAAGGGAGTCTTTTCCAAGTCTATCCACCTAAAAGGGTGGACGAATATTCATGTTAGCATGAGAGCGGGCATGGAATGGAACAGAGTTGTACTGCCATTAGTTCTGCGCAGAGTATTCCCTTACCTTGAAAGACAGCTTTTCCTCAACATACTTGCAAGCTTCGCGCATAGCAAGCTGATAGAATATGAAGGTAGAAAGTAAGTATTAGTAATGCACGATATTACGTGTTTTGCTCGCAATGTTCAACTAAAATGGAAGAGATGCTCAATCAATAGTATAAATTATAAGCTTACCCTGTAGCCACTAATAATAGAGGTCGGGTGAATCTTATTCCTCACAAGTTCATTGGCTCTCTGGCAAAAAGAAAAGAAACACCATGTCTGAGCACAAATAGCAGGGAAACTCATATGACAAGAAAAAGCCTGTTCCATCACCTTGAGCAACTCTGCAGCAATGATGACGACCGAGGTAGTTCCATCTCCAACCTCCCGGTCCTGGAGCTCGGCCAGCTCCACAAGAACCTACAGACAAAAGGAACCACAGGAAAATCTAAGAACAAAGCAACGGTCCAATCAAAACGAGATCAGCTATGCGTGTGTGCCAGGCATCACCTTCGCTGCCGGATGCTCGACCTCCAGCATCCTCAAAATGGTGGCCCCGTCGTTCGTGATCGTCACATCACCGATATCGTCCACCAGCATCTGCAGGTCGCATACGCTATTTTAGTGTACTCTAACAACGGTTGTTTCTCGCGAAACTACTGTGGATCTAGAACCTACAGATATCTACTTCACTGATCCTGACTACAGACAAATCATTTTCTTCAGTGACCGTGTTTTGTTTTCAGAGTGGGAGGCGTGGCGCGTACCTTGTCGAGCCCGACGGGGCCGAGCGACGACTTGACGATGTTCGCCACCGCCTGGCACGCCGACACTGCGTACAGAGGAGATTGGGCAGCGAATTAGACCTAGATCTCGCGGCGCACCACGCGACCCCGCGGCGGGAAAAGCGGGAGGGGGGAGGGGCGTTACCGTTCTGGGTGCGGACGTCCTGGCCGGACTGGCGCTCGCCCATGATGTCGGGGACCTGGGCGGTGATCGCCATGGCGGCGGCGGCGGCGGCGGCGGGGAGGGCGCAGGGGGACTGGAGAGTTCGAGAGGAGGAGGGAGGGAGGGAGCCCTCTTGGCGCTCGAGGGAATGGGGTGGGAGCGGCGGCGCTAGGCTTTGATGTGAGGAGGGGGCGCTATATATGGGCCGTCGTCGGCCCGTGGGCAGGCATTCCGCTCGCGGCCCGTGTTCGCGGCCCTTTTCTTCAGTTCTTTGACGCGTGCTCTGCCTCTGGGCGCCCTATTTCTCGCCTAACGCATCACTAAAAGAGGAGCACTCTCTCAAAGATCACTTTCACCCTATGTTGAGATAAGTGGCGCGCCGTATATGCATCACTTGTCGCAAACTAGGAGTTTTTATTTTTTCCGTATATTGGTTTATTCAAAACATTTTATCTCTTAAATCATGCGTCTAAATCTTGAACCGTTTTCACAGTTACATTCCTCGCATAGAGATTTTAGTAACAAGATCTCATGTTGATAGGCTTTGACGAACCGAAAGCACTATTTTTCCTTTCGCAAAAGCAAATCCGTGCCTCTAGCGAAAGGAAAACAATGAATTTTTTTCCATTTTCGAGAGGCGTGCTCGTGCCTCTCACGAAAGGAAAAAAACATGTTTTTCCTGATTCTGGCCGCGCCTCTCCCGGAAGTAATTCCATGCAAAGCAAAACCGTGCGTCTCAAGTAAGGGAAAAAAGAGAAAACACATTTTTTTTCGTTTTCCGATAGGCATGGCCGTGCCTCTCCAAAAGGAAAAAAACGCGTTTTTTTGTTTCCGAGAGGCACGGTTGTGCCTAAAGCTGACTGATTTGCGTGTTTTGACCATTGCCGAGTGTGCCATTGCACTAGGCAAAATCGACAATTCATGTAGTGTATGTTGATGTTCGATAGAGAATAAGCAAGTTGCACATAAGTGGATCGTGTGGCATATAAAAAAAATGTTCTGCTAGTTAAATTGAAGACCTAAATATCTGTCCAAAACTTATAAACCTCTTTGGAATAGTACCATATCTTTTTAGCTAACTGAATATACTCTTAACAATGGTAACGCGATCTTGCTTTCCTAGTCAGTTGTCAAGGACATGGAGCGACATGCAGATGCAATTTCTACCAGTCCTAAACCTACATAAAATGCTCCAAGAAAGTGCAGTGTGAGTTCTCATTCTAATTCATAATGGACCGACGGGCAGCAATTCTGAGATGGTATCGTGCAACTTTTATTAGACTGATAATGATTAAGAAGTATTCTTTCACAAGCCATAATACAGATTTCTTTAAGAACAATGCCTACCAGTTAAGAACAAATGAACTGCGGTGCCACAATGGCAAATAAATTTGATTGATCAACACATGTTTGCACACATAGAACACAATATTACTCAATGAATCAACACATTACAATTTCTTTTTTATGAAGCAAATAAAATAAGTTTGCCCACGTTGATAATGTCTATCCATGGGACTGATACATTTTGAGAAGAAAATATAATAAATAGGTTTGCACACTTAAAACACAACTAACTTAACGTGATATGAGATTGATAAATTGCGAGAATGCGCTCAGCTACCTCTACCATTGATGGCCTTTGATTCACATCATGCTCAAGACATTGTATAGCGATCCCTGCAAGATTACCAAGAAGCTCCAAATCTCTTGACCTTGTAAATGCCTTGTCAAACAATGCAACAGCTCTATTTTCTTTGTGGGCTGCAAGGAAATTGTCTACTAATCCACTACCATCAAAATGTGTAGCCTGCTGCCTACTAATAAGTTCTAGTATCACAACTCCAAAACTGTAGACATCACTTTTTTCAGTTAGTAGGCCCGACCGTAGGTACTCTGGATCCATATAACTCCTGTCACCAATGATTGTATTCGTGTGTTGTCTATCTCTCACAATCAACCTCGATATGCCAAAATCTGAAATCTTCGGCATAAAGTTATCATCCAAGAGTATGTTTGCTGGTTTGACATCACCATGTAAGATTCTAGTATGGGCTTTTGAGTGCATATAAGCTAGACCATCTGCTGCCTCGGCAGCAATGCGTAAACGCACATCCAAGTCAAGAGGTGCAACATTCTTATTATGAAGAACATCATCGAGACTACCTCTGGAAAGAAACTCATATACTAGCATTGGGATATCAACTTCTAGGCAACAACCGATGAGCCTAACTATGTTCTTGTGGATTACTTGAGATTGGATGATGATTTCATTTGCAAATTGATTATTCTCCAATGCACTACCACTAATTGGCTTCTTCACTGCAACTAGCCCAATATCAAGCAGTCTACCCTTGTAAACTTCACCAAAGCCACCTTTTCCAATAAAATTTTTACTCTTTAGAATTGGTTTGAGTTCCTCCTTCTTGAAAAGTTGTATGAGTTTTGCCTTCTGTAAGGTAGGTCCGCCATTCTTCTCATAGAATTCTGTCATCTTTATTTTCTCTTTGCGAAGAAGAATAACAAGTGTCATAATTGAAATGAAAGAAATCCCCCCTATTGCACCTGCATGTGTAAATCAAACAAGCTTAATTCCGGTTTTCATAATCCTATGTTTGACATACTTTCAAAAGTTTAACCTCCTTATGTAAGAACTATTGCTATGTTTTTATATTCTTAAAGAACAAAAGATGTCTTTATGTAAGAATTGAAAACCGAAGAATGAACCATGGCATAATGATTGGAATAGGTAAGTTGCTTCACATGCTAACATGTACAAGACCAAGTAGGAGTGTGCTAATTTTCAACCATATTAATGAATTTCCAAGTGATCTAATCAAGTATATTCTTTCACAAGCTTTTAGCATATCATGTTATCAATGTTAACTCCTTGCTCCTGCATCAAATTCTCATCATGGCTTGTTTTATCCAAGTTCCATCTCCTCTTGTTGAACATGCTTAGACATTGTGTTGTGGCCATGTTGTTCTGTATTCATTAGCTGCTTTACTTGACATTTCATGTAGCATAAATTTGATCTTGTTCATCACCTTGGATAATGTTCAAGCTTTGAATTCGGGAAATAGTTGCAGTGTTGGGTTCATGCTCATTTACATACTCACCTATATTATATGTTTGTAGTTAACATGTCTTTTCCTATGTAAGCACATTGTGGAAGGATGAGAGGTTGGGGTAAAATGCATAACCATAGTAGAACCGAGTCAAAATGTATCATTGCAAAAAATAGTGCTAACTGAAATGTACAATGAGATTAGCTTAACGGGATAACTTAAATATATGTCCGGCAAATTGTACGTGGGGTAACAATGTGGGAGCACCATTTAACACTTTTGCCTATTTAAGTATAAGGGCATGTACAATGGTTGATAAGATAGTCTTATCTTAAGTTTTGCATGTAAATTAGAGATGACAAAAAAACATGTCTACAATGAATCATCTCTTAGCCTTATCTTCAATAATTAGTTGTTCCTAAAAACGTGGTGAGACATATTGTGCTAAGAGATCATCTCTTGTCTTCTCTTAAATAAGATAAGAAAAGCCTTCTCGTATGGTTTCTCTTTCCTCCACCTCATCATTTATCCGACGTGACACTCTTAAGATAAAATCATTGTACATGCCCTAAGTCTCGTGGGTATTGTAAGTATGTACCCTCGATAAATTTTGTGTTGCTTCTTTCAATATAAGGTGGGATGCCCCTTTGATCTTAAGAAAGTGATTACTCACACTCAAAGATTTGGCATATATGGAATTCTTACGCCTTTTCATGAAACTTGGTGCAAACCTTCTGACTTGTACCCATTTTTTTTATTTCCTATTTGGTTATGTTCATACGTACACTTTTCATGAGACTATTTCTTTTTTTTGGGCGGAGGGGGGGGGGGGATATTACCTACTTCAATGCGACACATAGAAAGTGTAAAATGTTACGAAAATGGATGACTTCTTTTAAGTAATCTTGTGCACTAGCAGTGCTTACCAACAACCACCGTAAGTAGTAGGGGGAATTTGTCTGCACAAGTTCCTGTTTTCCCGTCCCCTTTCTTCCCTCGTTTGCATGGGCAATCATAGCCTCCTGACTTGTTTATGCATGTCCCAGAGCAAGGATACAAATCAGGGTGCTCGCACTCATTAATGTCTGAGGGGAAAAAGATAGTTGAACATAAGAAATTCAGAGTAATCACTCTAAATAAATGTTTGCATGCATTGCTTCCGTTCTTTTCTATACTTTGCATATTCGGTCTATCTTAAGTAAAATCTTCAAAATTTTGACGAAGTTAGTAGAGAAAAAAAACCAACATTCACAATACCAAATGAAGATCATTATATCCACCATGGAAAATATTTTTATATTGTATTTATGTGATATTGTAGATGTTGATAGGTTTTAATATAGATTTGTTTGAGGCAGTTTTTAACATAGATTTGGCCAAACTTTACTAAGTTTGACTTAAGATAAACATAGTACTAAGTGAAGTAAAAAGAAACGGAGGAAGTACATATATTAGCATATGTGTAACAGTAATTCAATGCTTTCTTCAAGAAATGGAGTAGTAACGATGATGATGATGATTATCACAAACTCAAAATCTTGTGTTTCTCGTGCCTATAATTGTTGCATTTAATTTTGGCAAATCAAATTTGTTATGAAGTCCCCCCCTACCACATCGTGGTAGCCGACAAGTAAATGTCAAAATAGGTATTAGGCCATATAAATCGGAGGGAGTAGTGTACAGGAAAATTGATGTCATAACGCAAGGCTAACTGTGTGGAAACAACAACAAATCTTGAGTTGTAATTTGTTATGTAGTCATGTATATCCCTGTTAAATTGCAAAACTAGTGCGAGTGGTATATACCTTGGCATCCACCGGTGATGTAAGGGTTACCCTCATAGTGCTCCAAGCATTTGCAGACATAGCCAGGCCCACGGGTTGCGGTTGCACAATAGCTGTTGGGGCTGGCGCAGGCAGGAGCCGGCTGCCCGTCCGGCGGACATGACCCACTCTTGATGGCGAAGTCGAGCACGTAGGGCACGCC